TGGATTGGAAATGACCCTAAATCATTCGGGACCAGAGCAAGTTTCACGATTCTTGCCAGCAGTTCGAACGAGATATATTACTTCCGTGGCAGACTTGCACAGCTAAGGTCAATACTTGTAGACAAAAAAACAAAAAACTCTCCGTTGTATAAACAGTGTGTCTGGGGGGGGGGGGGGGGGACCAGGAAAACCGCGAATTGTCAGGGAAATTTTAATTACCGGAAATACAGGGAACTGTCAGGGATATTGTCAAAGGGCAAGCTCGCATATTTGCACTTAGCAAACGGTAATTGCAGTAGCTGCATTCATTTCATCCCAATTGGATTGGAAATGGCCCTAAATCATTCGGGACCAGAGCAAGTTTCACGATTCTTGCCAGAAGTTCGAACGAGATATATTACCTCCGTGGCAGACTTGCACAGCTAAGGTCAATACTTGTAGAAAAAAAAGAAAAAACTCTCCGTTGTATAAACAGTGTGTCTGGGGGGGACCAGGAAAACCGCGAATTGTCAGGGAAATTTTAATTACCGGAAATACAGGGAACTGTCAGGGATATTGTCAAAGGGCAAGCTCGCATATTTGCACTTAGCAAACGGTAATTGCAGTAGCTGCATTCATTTCATCCCAATTGGATTGGAAATGACCCTAAATCATTCGGGACCAGAGCAAGTTTCACGATTCTTGCCAGCAGTTCGAACGAGATATATTACTTCCGTGGCAGACTTGCACAGCTAAGGTCAATACTTGTAGAAAAAAAAGAAAAAACTCTCCGTTGTATAAACAGTGTGTCTGGGGGGGACCAGGAAAACCGCGAATTGTCAGGGAAATTTTAATTACCGGAAATACAGGGAACTGTCAGGGATATTGTCAAAGGGCAAGCTCGCATATTTGCACTTAGCAAACGGTAATTGCAGTAGCTGCATTCATTTCATCCCAATTGGATTGGAAATGACCCTAAATCATTCGGGACCAGAGCAAGTTTCACGATTCTTGCCAGAAGTTCGAACGAGATATATTACTTCCGTGGCAGACTTGCACAGCTAAGGTCAATACTTGTAGAAAAAAAAACAAAAAAACTCTCCGTTGTATAAACAGTGTGTCTGGGGGGGACCTGGAAAACCGCGAATTGTCAGGGAAATTTTAATTACCGGAAATACAGGGAACTGTCAGGGATATTGTCAAAGGGCAAGCTCGCATATTTGCACTTAGCAAACGGTAATTGCAGTAGCTGCATTCATTTCATCCCAATTGGATTGGAAATGGCCCTAAATCATTCGGGACCAGAGTAAGTTTCACGATTCTTGCCAGAAGTTCGAACGAGATATATTACTTCCGTGGCAGACTTGCACAGCTAAGGTCAATACTTGTAGAAAAAAAAGAAAAAACTCTCCGTTGTATAAACAGTGTGTCTGGGGGGGGGGGGGGGGACCAGGAAAACCGCGAATTGTCAGGGAAATTTTAATTACCGGAAATACAGGGAACTGTCAGGGATATTGTCAAAGGGCAAGCTCGCATATTTGCACTTAGCAAACGGTAATTGCAGTAGCTGCATTCATTTCATCCCAATTGGATTGGAAATGACCCTAAATCATTCGGGACCAGAGTAAGTTTCACGATTCTTGCCAGAAGTTCGAACGAGATATATTACTTCCGTGGCAGACTTGCACAGCTAAGGTCAATACTTGTAGAAAAAAACAAAAAAACTCTCCGTTGTATAAACAGTGTGTCTGGGGGGGGGGGGGGGACCAGGAAAACCGCGAATTGTCAGGGAAATTTTAATTACCGGAAATACAGGGAACTGTCAGGGATATTGTCAAAGGGCAAGCTCGCATATTTGCACTTAGCAAACGGTAATTGCAGTAGCTGCATTCATTTCATCCCAATTGGATTGGAAATGGCCCTAAATCATTCGGGACCAGAGTAAGTTTCACGATTCTTGCCAGAAGTTCGAACGAGATATATTACTTCCGTGGCAGACTTGCACAGCTAAGGTCAATACTTGTAGAAAAAAAAGAAAAAACTCTCCGTTGTATAAACAGTGTGTCTGGGGGGGGGGGGGGGGACCAGGAAAACCGCGAATTGTCAGGGAAATTTTAATTACCGGAAATACAGGGAACTGTCAGGGATATTGTCAAAGGGCAAGCTCGCATATTTGCACTTAGCAAACGGTAATTGCAGTAGCTGCATTCATTTCATCCCAATTGGATTGGAAATGGCCCTAAATCATTCGGGACCAGAGTAAGTTTCACGATTCTTGCCAGAAGTTCGAACGAGATATATTACTTCCGTGGCAGACTTGCACAGCTAAGGTCAATACTTGTAGAAAAAAACAAAAAAACTCTCCGTTGTATAAACAGTGTGTCTGGGGGGGGGGGGGACCAGGAAAACCGCGAATTGTCAGGGAAATTTTAATTACCGGAAATACAGGGAACTGTCAGGGATATTGTCAAAGGGCAAGCTCGCATATTTGCACTTAGCAAACGGTAATTGCAGTAGCTGCATTCATTTCATCCCAATTGGATTGGAAATGACCCTAAATCATTCGGGACCAGAGCAAGTTTCACGATTCTTGCCAGCAGTTCGAACGAGATATATTACTTCCGTGGCAGACTTGCACAGCTAAGGTCAATACTTGTAGAAAAAAAAAACAAAAAAACTCTCCGTTGTATAAACAGTGTGTCTGGGGGGGACCTGGAAAACCGCGAATTGTCAGGGAAATTTTAATTACCGGAAATACAGGGAACTGTCAGGGATATTGTCAAAGGGCAAGCTCGCATATTTGCACTTAGCAAACGGTAATTGCAGTAGCTGCATTCATTTCATCCCAATTGGATTGGAAATGACCCTAAATCATTCGGGACCAGAGCAAGTTTCACGATTCTTGCCAGCAGTTCGAACGAGATATATTACTTCCGTGGCAGACTTGCACAGCTAAGGTCAATACTTGTAGAAAAAAAAAACAAAAAAACTCTCCGTTGTATAAACAGTGTGTCTGGGGGGGACCAGGAAAACCGCGAATTGTCAGGGAAATTTTAATTACCGGAAATACAGGGAACTGTCAGGGATATTGTCAAAGGGCAAGCTCGCATATTTGCACTTAGCAAACGGTAATTGCAGTAGCTGCATTCATTTCATCCCAATTGGATTGGAAATGACCCTAAATCATTCGGGACCAGAGCAAGTTTCACGATTCTTGCCAGCAGTTCGAACGAGATATATTACTTCCGTGGCAGACTTGCACAGCTAAGGTCAATACTTGTAGAAAAAAAAAACAAAAAAACTCTCCGTTGTATAAACAGTGTGTCTGGGGGGGACCTGGAAAACCGCGAATTGTCAGGGAAATTTTAATTACCGGAAATACAGGGAACTGTCAGGGATATTGTCAAAGGGCAAGCTCGCATATTTGCACTTAGCAAACGGTAATTGCAGTAGCTGCATTCATTTCATCCCAATTGGATTGGAAATGACCCTAAATCATTCGGGACCAGAGCAAGTTTCACGATTCTTGCCAGCAGTTCGAACGAGATATATTACTTCCGTGGCAGACTTGCACAGCTAAGGTCAATACTTGTAGAAAAAAAAAACAAAAAACTCTCCGTTGTATAAACAGTGTGTCTGGGGGGGACCAGGAAAACCGCGAATTGTTAGGGAAATTTTAATTACCGGAAATACAGGGAACTGTCAGGGATATTGTCAAAGGGCAAGCTCGCATATTTGCACTTAGCAAACGGTAATTGCAGTAGCTGCATTCATTTCATCCCAATTGGATTGGAAATGACCCTAAATCATTCGGGACCAGAGCAAGTTTCACGATTCTTGCCAGCAGTTCGAACGAGATATATTACTTCCGTGGCAGACTTGCACAGCTAAGGTCAATACTTGTAGAAAAAAAAACAAAAAAACTCTCCGTTGTATAAACAGTGTGTCTGGGGGGGACCAGGAAAACCGCGAATTGTCAGGGAAATTTTAATTACCGGAAATACAGGGAACTGTCAGGGATATTGTCAAAGGGCAAGCTCGCATATTTGCACTTAGCAAACGGTAATTGCAGTAGCTGCATTCATTTCATCCCAATTGGATTGGAAATGGCCCTAAATCATTCGGGACCAGAGCAAGTTTCACGATTCTTGCCAGAAGTTCGAACGAGATATATTACTTCCGTGGCAGACTTGCACAGCTAAGGTCAATACTTGTAGAAAAAAAAACAAAAAAACTCTCCGTTGTATAAACAGTGTGTCTGGGGGGGACCAGGAAAACCGCGAATTGTCAGGGAAATTTTAATTACCGGAAATACAGGGAACTGTCAGGGATATTGTCAAAGGGCAAGCTCGCATATTTGCACTTAGCAAACGGTAATTGCAGTAGCTGCATTCATTTCATCCCAATTGGATTGGAAATGACCCTAAATCATTCGGGACCAGAGCAAGTTTCACGATTCTTGCCAGCAGTTCGAACGAGATATATTACTTCCGTGGCAGACTTGCACAGCTAAGGTCAATACTTGTAGAAAAAAAAACAAAAAAACTCTCCGTTGTATAAACAGTGTGTCTGGGGGGGACCAGGAAAACCGCGAATTGTCAGGGAAATTTTAATTACCGGAAATACAGGGAACTGTCAGGGATATTGTCAAAGGGCAAGCTCGCATATTTGCACTTAGCAAACGGTAATTGCAGTAGCTGCATTCATTTCATCCCAATTGGATTGGAAATGGCCCTAAATCATTCGGGACCAGAGCAAGTTTCACGATTCTTGCCAGAAGTTCGAACGAGATATATTACTTCCGTGGCAGACTTGCACAGCTAAGGTCAATACTTGTAGAAAAAAAAACAAAAAACTCTCCGTTGTATAAACAGTGTGTCTGGGGGGGACCAGGAAAACCGCGAATTGTCAGGGAAATTTTAATTACCGGAAATACAGGGAACTGTCAGGGATATTGTCAAAGGGCAAGCTCGCATATTTGCACTTAGCAAACGGTAATTGCAGTAGCTGCATTCATTTCATCCCAATAGACCATTTGCAGTCCTCCCAAGCGCCCCGGCGCGCGCGCGAGGAATCTTGGGATCGGTGTTCTGTCGGCCCCCGTCGTCTGGCTGCTCTCCGTTGGAATCGCATCACCTCGCTCTAGACATACTTTTCATCTTCGTTGTTTATACTTAATAATCCTCTTTTTTATCTACTCCAGTGTATTTTTCTTGTTCATAAGTGTATCTATTTCGTTCAGCGCTTTGTATTTCTTCTGTATATTACGTGTTTTTGTGCATATTCCATCGTTTTCGACGCGGCCGTCGACGGACACCACGCCGCTTCGTTCGCCGCTCCCGGGGTGAGTACTGACTGTTGCCGTTACGCTCTATCCCGCTCCTAGGCCGTTCATTTAACTCGTGTGCGGTCGCGAGAGAGCAGTTTCGAACATCACTACAAATGTCACCGCTGTAAGCAGAGAAATAAAGTAGTCATCACGAAGCGAAGGCCGACATGCCTTCGCTTCGTGATGCGCTCGCCCTGTGAAATGTGAGCGTGGGATATCGAGTACTGCTTGCGTGCTCAACATTCGGGACGGTGCTTTGTCGTTGCGATCTTTTTGCCCTTCGGACGCTTGCGAAGCTGTACCAGCGGTCGGCGTGCCTCGGCAGCGCTCGTCAACAACCGTCCGCGCGGCGTCACTTTTCTCGCGTTCGCTGACCGTCCGCGAGCGCCGGTGATTCATCGTCGCGGCTGGTATGCGTATGTAGTACATCGCATAGCTTCACAATCGCTCTTAACAGCGGTTGTGAGTTGAGCGGGCCCTTAGCAAGCGAGTTATGTCAGCAACTGCAACTTTGAAACTGATGGTCACTTCACTTATTTATTTCACTATTCGAGATGTCAGCTGAATGTAGTATCTTCTTAGGTCACCCTCAGAAGCCACATGACGGGCGGTACAACCTGCTGTGTACCGGGCTGTGCCCACACCACTCTCACTGCCAAGCATGTGTCCTGGAATCGCTTTCCGAAGAACAGCCATCTACGCAACATTTGGGTACAGCGAATCAACAGGAAAGGTATTTACCATATTTTTTTACTTGTTATCTACACTTTCCTGACAATGATCAGGAAGGTACAGTGTGTGTACTGTCCGACGTGGCCCAAGTCATTTTACCCATATGTACAACATACCTGCGAAACACATTTTTTTTAAAAATAAAAATAGCATTCATTATTTTTGACCTATAAGTGCAACATACGACTGAAACAAAAAAGACAATCTCAAAGAATCCCAGATGTTGCATGTGCCCTTTTCACTCTCTTGGCCACTTCCACCTGCACCGACATACCAATATTTGATTGCATCGCAGGAATGTCGCTTCATCTCACTACCCTACAGCTAAAGCAAAGATACTCTCACAGTGCTTCTATCATTTTCAGCGTGCATCCACTCCAGGTTTGTTAGGCATAAACTATGTGCTTGTTCTTAGTGCCCGCTGCACAATGGTACTGGAAGTGTTTAGAAGGCGGTGGGGTGACGATGGGGGAGGAGGAGAACTGAATTCTACCCCCTTGCCCGGATAGTTTACTGACGCCCCTGTTCAGACGCCACGGCTGCTGCATCCATTCTTACCACTGAGATTGAGTTGCACTTGCTCCAAAGTTGAATGGGTGAATCTTAATATGGTGCTAACTGCTTCTTTTGCATGCAGGTACCACTGGACGGTTCTCTCTGTGGACGCCAACCTCTGACAGCAGAATATGCGGCGCTCATTTTAACGAAACTGGGAGAAAGAAGTACGAGGACAAAGCTCCCCGGTTTTTTCCAACCAGGACATTTCCGAAGTGTATGTTATTTGCCTATTTTTGTTTCTTTCTGCAATAGTTGTTTTTCCCTGCTTATATTCTTGCTTGTGATCACTGTATACATGGGTCGTTTCTCACGTGAGCTACGTCACTGCTGGTGGCGTCTGGTGATTTGTGGACAGCGGTGCTACCCAGTGAGCATGGCGAAATACGTGACCTACGGAAGCAATCATCGCTCTCATAGAAAAAGACGGAGCTTCAAGCAATCGTAATGTCAGATTTTGTAGAGCTGCAGACATAATAACAATGTTTTGTCTGAATACATGAGATCTCTCAACGGCTAGACGACGCAAATGGACTGCAATCGAAAAGAGGTTTTGCGACGTGCGGTTAAGTAGCATCAAGGATATCACTGAAACTGAAAAAGTATAACATTCTCGTCCGTCATTAAATTTGCAGTGGGAATAGGTGGCATATAAACCTACTGACTGCCTTTTTCAAGGATTTGGCTTGGCTTAGCTAGCTTGCTGCTCAAGGCACCAGGGGATGTCGCTCTGCTGCCTTCATCTCTGATGGCCCCAAATGACAGCTTTTAATCCAGCTCTCTCGTTGTGGAAAGTAGTGAAGGCTCTGCATGTTTCCTGTCGTACATTGAAGTGCCAGCTCATCTCGACTCTAAATAACAGCAGTGTGTTTGAACGGTACCAGACGATGCTTCTTTATATTTCCGACTGCTCTATCTGACACAGTCGGTCACAATGCAAGAGGACTTCAGCGAGCTGGAAAACACTCTCTTAGCACATAGAAAAACATAGGAGAAAATGTACCAACATGAATTCTAGAAATATTTTGAGCGAAAACTGACGTCAGGTGCAAGGACTCTATAATTACTGTCCACCGTGTTTGCTTGACTAGGCAGCTTCCTAGTGACCATTCAAGCAGATAGAGTTGGACATGCCTTGTCAGGAGTTTGCGGTCGTAATATGCTTGAGCCAACTGCTTTGTAAGAAGTTGCAGCTGTGCATATCGTTCGTGTCACAAATGGAAACACATATGAATGCGGAAATATAATTATGTTTAATAAAGGGCCCTTTAGGCAAGTATGGACAGCCTAAGATGGCACCGAATATAGTCGATTTCACAGTAACATGGCAGGTGGCAGACTCTATAACCCCTGTGAACTGATTGAAGTGTTGAAGTCAAATGTATGTGACAGCTCTTTACTAGAGAAGTGTACTCTGATTGGCTCGCTTGGGACAAACCTTTTGTTGTGTGCCAAACTATGTTGAATAAGGATATAAACTTTGTTCCCTTCTTTTATACGCCGGTGGCTGTTGAATGCACTTCGTCTCAGAAAGAACTGCAACAATCGCTATTTGGCTACAACATTCCAGACCAGCTACCAAAGGGTAGAAACAGTGACCGCTATTGATCCAGCTGAGCTCTTGGTTGTTTGACATGTTATGTGCTCCGTACAGTGTAAGCTGTGCCCTGTGCTAGACAGAATTCCAGCCGGTATGTAATGCTTATAAAATAATTGCGTGAACAATTGCCTTATCCTTGCCTGCAGATGTTGCGGCCTGCCCAAAGGTCCCAAACATGATCTGCGCAAGGAAGCGCCATGCGCTGCAGCCGCTGCCGGCCTACTTTCTGTCGGACCTTGACCTGGCACAGACCGTGACCCTGCCTGCTAGCCAGGAGCCAGCACAACCCGGCAGCCCCTTGGCCTCCGCTGGTGCCCCTGACACTGATGATGTAATAGCTAGCGGTAAGCTCCTAACATTGAGCATCAGTGTTGCTCGTCTGTTTATTTGGCATCCCTGTCAACTGTGCAGCAGTCCCGATAGGTGCATGGAACACTTACATGCAGTACGTCGAACTTTACAAACTGTACTAACTCAGTCACCGCTGGCTATAGCACGCAAGTTGTGGCCGTTCCATACTCGCAGCACCATATGGCACGGTGCACTCTAAGATACCGCACATGCAAGGTACCCGCGGAGTTGTTCTTTCAGATTGCGGTCACACCCTCACTTCATTGTCTGCCAGGTACAAAGGAGATGCTGCCACAGCCCTGCTTGCATGTTATTTGCCTCAAGATCCAGATTGAAAAGTGGGGACACATGCTTTTGTTTATCCATTGTTTCCTACAAGACAAGCGGCGATTCTCTGGCGTCCACAAAAAAACCATCCCCACTTTTGTTATGGAGCACGGGCAAGGCTATGCATGCTCTTAGAATTCGCAGTTGACTCCAATGCATGCGCACGAACGCTGCACCGGAGCCTCTCAGGGCTTCGAGTTAGCGTCCGCAGCATTCTCCGTGCTCCAAGTAAGTGTAGAACAAAGCTTAGTTCCGCATTTCCCCGCAGCACCCCTGACGATCGGATCTCAAGGCGAATAGCCAGCATTCCCATTATAGCTCCTTCGTGTGGAACAGAGCAGCATTAAAGAGGTCATAAACCGACTCAGTTACTTCTGCTAAATGCTGCTGTCGCACAATAAAGCTTGAGAACAAGCAATATTCTGCTCTTCCTCACAGCCAGGTAAAATAATCACATGATTACTGTTAGGGGTTAGCTGCTACTGTTGGCGCAGTGATTAGACACAAGCCCAAGCCCCAATAGTTACCATGGCATTGATTGTAACCAAATAGTCAGGTGCTCACTCAGTGCTTGGGTCCAGTTCATAAGCCGTCTGTATTCAAGTGTCGTCACCCTGGTGTGAACCCTAGGCTTTCTCAACATTGTGATTTCTGACTGTAAATTAGCCTTCTATTCCTCAGAATATAACCTTGGCAGGGGAGCCTCTGGTTTGTGGTATATAGATTATTATATAGATTATATTTGTGCTACAGACGTCAGTATGCTTGTATGAGGTGCAGAACATCCAAATGCATATCGTTTCTTGGCCCCTTTAACATGTGATGCTTTTTTTGTATGGCACATGATATGCTATTTGGCAGAGCCAAGGCAATTACAAGGAGAAAGCCTAGTTTTTTGTTTTGATATTTGACTGCAAAAATGATGTGATATTTATTTTGCTATCTCCCCATCTGGCAGACCACCAGTACAGCATCACAGGATGTATCGATCAAGCCCTGCGTGATCGCATCAGGCAGCTAGAGGAGCTCGCTTCTGCAAACGAGAAACTGCGCAAGGACAACGACCGTCTACAGAAAGAAAATGAAGCTCTGCGGAAGAAAGTAGCCCATCTTGAGGAGATGTATGACAAAGCAGAGGAGGTCATCGATGCTACAATCCCCTTTCAGAACTTCACGCTCACAGCCGTGCAACAGGACCCAAAGAAACTGGCCTTCTACACGGGATTCGACTCCCTGGAGAGATTTCTCGCCTTTTACAAGTTTGTTCAGGCAGGTTATGAAGCTCACAAGGAAAGTCAAGGTCCGCAGAGAAGGTCACCTTATCTATCCATGGATGATCAGCTGCTGCTCGTGTTGTCCCGCCTGAGGGTGGGACTTTTGGAGCAGGACCTTGCATACCGGTTTCGTATCCACATCAGCACAGTCAGCCGGGTGTGGACATTCTGGATTGGTTACCTAGCGGACTACCTTGCTCAACTCAACTACTGGCCGTCGCGACAGGTTGTGAACAAGCACATGCCGGAGTGCTTCATCGAGGCGTATCCATCGACGAGAGTCATTCTGGATTGCACGGAAATCTTCATCGAGACACCTAGCGACTTCAGGGTGCAGAGTGATACCTACTCAAGCTACAAGTGCCACAACACTGCCAAGGGACTGCTGGGCATCACCCCCAATGGGTTCGTGTCGTTCGTGAGCGACCTTGCCCCTGGCCGCGTCTCTGACAAAGCCCTGACCGCATGTTCCGGGCTATGCAACCTTCTTGAGCCCGGAGACTCTGTCATGGCGGACAGAGGCTTTTTGATCACTGAAGAGGTCGAAGCTGCAGGGGCTAACCTGAACATTCCACCTTTCCTTGGGGGAAGGCTACAGCTCTCCCTGGAGGACGAAGCGAAAACTAGGGCGATTGCGAAGGTCCGGATCCACGTGGAACGAGTGATTGGACAAATGAAGTGTTTTCGAATCTTGAGGGGTACTTTCCCAAACAGTATGAGCAAGAGCCTGGACTCTATCTGGAAGGTCTGTGCTTTGCTGTGCAATTTCACGAGAGAGCCACTGCTCAGTCGAAGCTAGAGCTGCAGTCTTGTGGCTTCGTAGATGGTCGTGGAGAAAAAAGAGGCCATATCTCTCTATCTAGCTCACTTCAGCTCCGGCAACTTTTTGTGCCCACACGCCCTCATGACCCATGACGACCATTAGCACCGACTACGGCCCTCGGGACTTTCCTCTACCCAACGAAATGGACTCACAACCCACCGAGGCCACGCTGGCTTCTCCCGCTGTCTGAAGCTTACCGCTCAATGCACCACCCACAGCCGGTGCAACCACTCCTGCCGTCACGTCGCTTCTTGATGCACCACTTGTTGCCGCGTGAATTCAACCTGCGGTCTTTACTCAGAATCCATTCTCCATCCTCGGCGACGATGATCCCGAAAGCAAGTTGTCGCCCCTCAACAACAGTTGCCACATCCGCACTGCCGCCAATGAAACGAAGCGTGCTCGTGGCATTTTTTTCTTCGGCGCCGCTGCGACTAAGCTTACCACCTCACCCCGGTGCATCCAACGTGACTCGAACCCTGACTCGTTCCCCCTGGAGGACGGATGGCATCCTGTCTCTCGCCGACGTAAGGCGGCCCCGCCCGCGGCGCCTCCAGCAGCATCGTTCTGCAGTGAGTTCTCCCACACTGTCATTCTACGGCCGGCCAAACCATGCCGCATCATGGACGGGGTCTTTCTTGCCATTGACTCTGCAGTTGCTGCACAGATAGACCTCAGGTCTCCTACACCATTGCAGCCCCCTACCAAGTGAGGTACCTCGACTGCAGTAATCAACTTGCAGTTGATGCTGCTTTGTCTCAAGTGTGCGATGCATTCCTCAATGTAACATACATCCCGATCGGCACTCTGCAGGTCTCCGTGCAAGGCTACGAGGCCATTCGCCGTGGCCAGGTTCGCGGATTCATAAAAAAAGTCTGGCGACCTGGATTCTGCGTCCTAAAAAACCTTCATTGCCGGAAATCTGCTATCCTCCAGGCCGGTCCTCTCACAAACTCTGGGTCGGCACTCATTACATTCGACGGCACCAGCCTCGCGTTGCCCAGTGCCCCAACAGCACCCAAGCCAACGGCACAACACAGCGTCGTCAGTTGCCTTCATCAACATCCAAAGAGAAGCCGGCGTCACCACCAGTGACGCCTGAAACTAGCTCCTGCTCAGCAAGCTGTGCTGTTATCTGCGCCCAAAGCCCTCATCGCAGCACCGAGGTCTGCGAAGCAGAAGACTGACTCCCGCCCGGTGCTCGCCACAAAACTCCTAACGCCGGCACACAACATCACCGCCGACCTCACACAAGTCCCAACATCAGAACCGCCTCGGACCACCTTCGCAGAATCAGCGAGAGCTGTCAACAGCACTAGTGAGACGCCTGCCCTACTTCCGTCAGGGTCAGACTTTACTGGCTTGCAACAACAAATCACCCTTTTCACAAAACAAATGCTGGCAGCCACGCAGCGAATTCCGACGATGCAAAACTCGCTGTTTACTCTCGTGGATACCTGCACCCGTGCAGTAATCGGGCGCCTCGCGATGCAGGGCATCATTCCGTTCGGCGGCCCCCCACTATCACCACGCAAACATGGTTAGCGCCCCCAGGATTGTTCAGTGGAACTGTTGCTCGCTTAAACAGAAGAAGGCAGACTTCATCGAAAAATTTTATCTTCACTCGTCATCCGACATGGCCGCTGCGTTTGCTCTACAAGAAATCAACGGCCCCCTCCCTTCTTTGCCACAGTACGATGGACTTGCTCCGAACATTGAGACTAGTGCCCCCTTGCCTTGGATTCGTTCCGCCCTGTACGTTCATCGATCAGTGTGCTTCACTCTTCTCGACACCTCACAGAGGTGCTCTGCAATGACCAGCGTTACGGGTTGCCGCCAATTCCTCAACGGCCCGTTTTTCTCTTCTCTGTCTATGTGGCTCCAGACACATCGCTAAACCGCTGGACAAGGCAGCCGCTAAACATCCCTTTTTTTAAGCACTTCGCCCGTCTTTATCCAAAAGACGACGTTCCCGTTTGCGGTGATCTTAATGCCAAACACACGCATGGGGCTACGACATTGACCTTCCCCACGGCACGCGGCTTCTTGCAGACCTCACAGGGCTGAAACTTTCGTTCCTCAACATCCCAGACACCCCCACACGTATCAAACAATCCTCCCAACAGCAGGACACCTGCCCCGACTTTACCTGTGCTCGTTACCCTCGACGCTGGAGATGGCATGTCGCCGGCGACCGCCTCGGCGGTGATCACCTCCCCATTATTTTACGCTACGACTTCCTATCCGCAACCCTATCTCACTGTCGCGCCTGCTGCGACACATTCTTCACTAAGTGGGACAACTTCCGAGCAGCTCTTTCTTCTGTCATGGAACTTGCTGGCTTTTCCGACATTATACAAGCTATCCAGTCCGCCCACAAGTCTGCCACAAAGCGGCTAACCGTACCGGACGATGCCGCTTTGACGAGCATTTACTTACTGGACCGCCGCATTCACCTGTTGGCCTGTTACCGCCGTTCTCGCAGACCACGACGACTCCTCAAACCTTCACATAAACTCCAAAAGACTATCTCGTGCTACACTTCGGAACTCGCTTCCAACTGCTGGACTTCCCTGTGCAGATCCATCTCCGGCAATAGCCATCTTTCGAAAGTTTGAAGGCTCCTCCGTTCTCTCCTCGGGGACCACAAACCTAGGCAATTTGCTGCCACTGTTGCCCTTCGCAAAGGTGTCTCTCCCGAGGAGCTAGCTGAACGGGCCTCGGACGTCTTTTTTCCGCAACCAGCGCAACATGACTCTGGATGCTACACTTGTGTTCACCCTGTCACCAAGCTCTTGGGATGGATTGCCCGTTCACCCTCCACTCGCAGTGCACCTGGCCCCCAACAACGTCACAGTCGGGCAACTTCAGAACCTCCCTACGGCACTCAAGGAAACCATACTCGCCGAGATCAACCAGGTGACTCCAGACTACTGAAGCCCCAGGAGTCCCTGATCGCTGCCACTTGTCTCATTCGCCCTGGAAGCTCCCGAGAAGATTAAAAGCTTTTCCTCTTTTTATGCCCAAACAGCAGGGCAGATATGGTGGCCACTTCTTTGGTCGTTAAATAAATGTTTCAAAGCAAAGGTAGATGGTCATGATGAAAGAAATCAAGGACGTTAGGATTCCTGTCAGAAGTACTCAACGCAATAAAATGTTGTCCAAACTTGCCAGGTTTTAATTTTAGATTGGTTGCACACTACACGACAGAGTAGCGAGCATTTGATTATTCTTAATTTTTAACTAGGACTGATTAAATTAATTTCAATACTTTTGGATGTTTTATTTTAATACACACATATCCTCTAAAAAGGGCGGAAATGTAGTGGTTAATAAAGAAAAATAGACGTAATGGTGGGGCCACAGTCGACTCCTAGCAGAACTGTTTGGTGGGGCAACAGGCAGACTGAGATTAAAGCCCCTCTATCCTGGGAAAAGTGGCGCCATTCATTGTTGTGGAAATTCTCGAGACACGTACCGTGTGCCACTTCTGGGAAGGACATGGCGTCTGAAATCTAGCTCAGTGCTGCGCTGTGTCGCCATGATCTTCCCAAGGGCTGCATGTTGCACGTGCCTCGTGCATCGACGCACTTTGCGCTACTTTTAAAACATGAAGGGGCTTTAACTGAGATGCCATTGCGTGTGCCACAGGCAAAAATTCAAGATGTTGAAAACAAGCTGTTGCATTGTAAATTGTGCGAATTACTAAAATTCTCCGTCAATATGCCCCAGCAAATGAAGATTAGAGGGTTTACAGATTAAACCAAAGGAAGATGTCTGTCACCCCAGAGGAAGAACATGTGGGGACCTTGACGTGCAACCAAAATTTCACCATCAATAGCGCTGAAATCAGTAACGACACTACCGTAAACCAATTTTGCTCCCAGGTGGGCCGCCGGAAGCGGCGTTGGTAGCCACAGCACATGGTCGTTGTTGGAACTTTCGCGCATAATGCAGAAGAGGATCATGCCCTCTTTAGGTGTCACACGCTCTCATACCATCTTTAGTGTTTGTGTGTATGGCGCGTGCTTTGGACGGTTTCACAACTGACGACCACGCGCATGCTAGGCTGTGAAGATTACACGCTGGGGCGTGGGTTTGTAAACAATGGAAAAGTGTATGAAATTTAGCATGCACAGTGCACAAACTCTATTTTCAGTACACAAATATTGCGACTACTATATCGGACAGAGGTACGCGCTACAGTTTGCAACAAATTCTTGTGCCGACATGAGCAGTCTGAGGCATTCCAACTACTTGTCATGACAGCCACTTTCAGTTCACAAAAGTTGGTTTATTATATGTTCTCCAAGTCTTTGGCATTAAAAATGAGGTTGATTCCTTTGTGACACTGCCGTGCCGGGCTGTGGCCGGCGGTGAAACTGCACAGCCCACCAGCGACGGCAAGCAACCAACTGAGCGTCCAGAGCTAGGAACCAAAAGGCACCTTTATCACACGAGGCAATGGCTTTTTACACAAGACGTGGGCACAGTGTTTGCAACCCGATTACCGAAAGTGTCCAAACTTGGCACTAGCACCGCCCGCAAAATCCCCCCTTTAGAATGTTCAAGGAGAGTATCGGACACCTTGGCTGTGAAAAAAAACAAAGTTTTACAGATTGAGTCTCTTGGGAGCGACCACTTGTCTTCCAGAATGGGTTGAGTAGTGTCGGCCCGTACCATCACCACGAACACGTGGTGGTGATGCTGGACGAGGCACATCACGATGACGCGAGTAGACAGGTCCACCTGAGGCCGAACCGTCGACGGAAGCTAGGGGTGACGCCGGCCTCGGAGAGACACAACAGCACCTGCCGCAGGCGTTGGTCATGTTCCTTTTTCGTTCTGCCGAAGACTAGGATGTCGTCGACCATGTTGACCAATCCGTCTAGGACTTCCAAGATCCACGCCACCTGTCGCTGGAAAAACTCAGGGGCCGACGTGATGCCAAATGGGAGTCGGCAAAAGCAATAACGCCCATACGGCGTAATGAACATCGTAAGCTCTTGAGAGTCCTTGGAAAGCTTGACCTGATGGAAGCTTGAGGTAACTTTGAGCTTCGAGAAGACTGCCGCATCGCCCAGAAGTCCCAGGACTTGATCGACGGTGGGGAGCACATGACGTTCTCTCGGGACAACTTGATTTAATTTTGTAAAGTCGATACAGACACGGTAACCTCCCGACGACTTTGGAACCATGAACAGTCCAGCGTCCCGAGGTGTGGGGTTGGTGACACGCCGAATGGCTCCGTCTTGCTCCAGTTTGGCCAGTTCTGTTTGCACCACCTCGCGCAGGGGTATCGGTATGCGGCATGGAACACTAAGTGAAAACGGAACCGCATCCGGGCGTAGCCGAATCTTGTACTCCTCCTTGAGCGTGCCGAGACCTCTGAAAAGTCCCTGCGGTGCCGGCACTTTCATGTCGTCCAAGAACTTTACCACACCCAGAGCCTGGATGGCTGGGAACCCCAGCAGGGGCATAGAGAGGGACTTGATCACGTACAGACGCTGATGACCGGTCTTGCCTCGCCACAGGAGGGTAGCCATGAAGTACCCAATGACTTTTAGCGACTGGTCTCCTGGTGCTGTCAGCAGGTCGTCGACCTTGTCCAGATGATGAGGTAAGTTCGGGAAGGCTTCCGAAACAGCAGACGCCTCCGCGCCGGAATCTACCTTGAATATCGCCGTGTAGTTGTCGACATTGACCTCAACGTACTTGGCCTTGGCCTTCTCAGTCTCGAGGATTGCGTGGAGCGGTAAGGAACGCCACCTTGCTCTGCTTTCGTTTCCGAGCGCAACAGACGTCCGCGAAGTGGCCCTTCTTCTTGCAATAATTGCACAGAGACTGCCGAGCAGGACAGTCTGAGCGTGTGTGGGGGGCCCGACTGCAGTAGCTGCAGGAACCTGGGTCGTTATCGCCAAGTGAAGACACTGCTGATGCGTCGTCTGACCGTTTTGTTGTCTTGCGTTGGTGCGTCGGACCATGACAAGACTTGGTGGCGTCAACGTTGACGGTGACCTGGACACTCTCGACTCCCGCGAGCAGTTTTTTTCTTTTTCGGCGTCTTCGATCTGCCTCACCTGCGTCCACGCGTCCTTGAGGCTGAGCTTGGCTTTCCAGCAGAGCTGGCCGGACAGGCGTTCGTCGCAAAGACCAACAACGAACCGGTCGCGAACCAGGCGTTCTTCGACTTTGGGGGACGGGTAGTTGCACCACTTGACAAGCTTGCAGAGCTCGGCGTAGTAACTGTCGACGCTCTCTCCCGGCTGCTGAACCCGCTCGTGGAACCTCGAGGACTCTTACACCTCGTTGACGGGGTACAGGAAGTGTTCCGAGAAGCGCTTGACCACCGTGTTGTAGTTGTTCAGGGAGGCGGCGTTCAAGCCGAACATGTCGAGAAGGACCCGAGCCTCGGGGCCCATGCAGTAGAGAAGTGTCCGCACCTGAATGTCCGGTGGTGCTTGGCGAAGTACGGAGGCATAAGCGTACTCCTCGAGTTGCGTAAACCGGGTAGGCCAAGAACCGGTGTTGTCGAAGTCGAAACCAGCAGGCTGACGTACGGAGCCGCCCACCCACGCGGGCAGTGTTTGCAACCCGATTACCAAAAGTGTCCAAACTTGGCACTAGAACCGCCCACAACAGACACTACAATTTTATGATCAACACTCAGTCTTTCCGATATTTAAAAAAAAAGTCTGTCAGGCGTGGCACCATAACGTTCACCCAGAGTGCCTCATCAAAGGGCACCCGTGTGACCCAGCAGTCTTTCGCCCAGTCAACAACAAGGTCACACCACTCCAGTCCTGTGAGCGCAAGTTGTCCTGTCACCTGGTAGTAGTGCTTGTGCTTTTTGTCGACACTCTTGTCCGCATGGATAAACTCCACAAACCCTCTGCTCATCACCTCCTCGAAGGTCGTCAGGTTCGCATCTATCGCCCGTGACACGGTCTTCACTTCGACTAGTCCGTACTCCTGTATATCTTCGTCCCAGACCAGCCCGTCTGGTGATGCCCCCAGCATGGGAAGGCCAGGGTTGATGCAAAGGCCAACACTAAAGACTTGGACCTTTTGCTTGGCCTTGTAGCGCTTCAGAGCAGCCGCCTCATTCTGAAGTCCCGCCCTCATGTGACGTGTCGTGCCATGTCCGCCCGAGAAAATCGTCCTGAGAAACTTTTCGTTCACGGGTGCTTGTCGTTTGACGATGTCTCCGAACTGTGATGCCGTGATCCTTTTCTCACGTTCCGTGTGCCACAGCATACTTCTGCTTTGGCCACGTGTCTGTTCCTCCAGGTGCTGAGCTTGTGTAAGAGTCAGGGTGCATGGATCGCTTGGTGGCATCTGGTGATTCCAGCACTCTTTTATGGGCAAGCTGATCCGTGCTGCAGAGGCCCCATCATCCGTGTTCGAGTGCTCCTGAACCTTCCTTGGCAAGGGTGTGAAGGCAGCTTCTTCCATCACGTCCGCAAACATTGGGAATATTCCCTTCTCAATGAAATCTGTATGCAGCCTCTTGACGGTTGCCTGCGCCACGTCCACATGCACTTCCGTGGTTTTTCTCGCACTCTTCGCCTTGTTGCTAGAGTCGTGCTTGACGAATTCTAGTTCGTTGAACGACACCGTACTTGCACCTCTCTTTGAAGATGGGCCCCACTGCCTTGCTCCCTCAGTGCAGGCCAGAGCATCCGGGATGTAGGACCTTCCCTCCCTTATCAGGTCTAGCATGTGCCAAAGCAGTGCTGCCACATGCTTGCACACACCGCCTTGTCCAGCCTTGCAGGAACAGGAAGCCTTGCTGACCTGCCCATCTTGGCAGAGCACAGCATGCACTGCGTATCGCTTCGTAAGGGTCATGGAAGCCTCCACGTTAGCCTTGACAATTGTCTCTGATGCACTTGTGGTGTGGAGGAAGATGTTCTGCACTTTGTGGGCCTTGAACATTTTGTAGCCAGAACTTGTGTGCTTCTGTGCTCCAGCTGCTTGGCCATGCCCTTGGATGTGGCTTTCCGAGAATGCGGAAGGAAAGTCCTTCAGCTGCTTGGTCCAAGGTCCTGCTGGAAGTGGTAGCTCTTGCGGCTCTGGTACATCCCGTGTCGCCATAGCCTTCCCTGAAAAAAAGGCAGCTCAGTCAGCGTTTTAAAAGGAGGACGGAAATTTGACCAACACAGTTTTTTAATGGGTTTGGTGTTGTTTTGACAGAATTAACCTAAACTTGCGAAGTAAGAGTTCATCTAGGGTAACAACCCCTCAAAAAAAGCCTGCTGTAAACTTTGTGCTAAAAAAAGAGCGTTTGCTATTAGGCAAACATGCCAGCTTTTGTAATCTACAACTTCTTGTGCACTTTCGAACATTACACAGTCGAAGGAGCATTCTGAAAGCAAGCCACGCACTGGCATTGGGGACAAGCATCTCCAGTGTCACTGAGCTGCTTGTTGCTGCTGCCCTGTCAGTGTCCATGATATAGTGCAGCTCTGAATACGAAGAACGCGTTTTGACCATAATCCGTTTCGTGCCAGCAGCATAAAGCTGCTGGCACGACCGTGAAGTGTTGTACAGGAGTGGCAAAGACACTCCAGCTTTCAATGCGTCAGTGTTCGTCCAAAAGAAGCAGTTCGCAGAGCCACTAAAAAGTGTCTAGCATTTCATATGCACGCGCTTGCGTGAAAACGGGATGATCAATAAAGATATGCACTCGCGGGACGCTGTGTTAGCGCGGTTCGCAGGGGCAATCTTGCCTCACCACAGTGAGCGCGCTAGCTGAACTGTAATTTCGATAAACAATGGAATCTCCCCCATACTATGCATAAAACGCAGTCAGAACCCCTTCTCCCGCCGCGACGAAGAACCGAACGCGAAGGATGTGATGCTGCGCGGACGGTTGTTGACGAGCGCTGCCGAGGCACGCCGACCGCTGGTACAGCTTCGCAAGCGTCCGAAGGGCAAAAAGATCGCAACGACAAAGCACCGTCCCGAATGTTGAGCACGCAAGCAGTACTCGATATCCCACGCTCACATTTCACAGGGCGAGCGCATCACGAAGCGAAGGCATGTCGGCCTTCGCTTCGTGATGACTACTTTATTTCTCTGCTTACAGCGGTGACATTTGTAGTGATGTTCGAAACTGCTCTCTCGCGACCGCACACGAGTTAAATGAACGGCCTAGGAGCGGGATAGAGCGTAACGGCAACAGTCAGTACTCACCCCGGGAGCGGCGAACGAAGCGGCGTGGTGTCCGTCGACGGCCGCGTCGAAAACGATGGAATATGCACAAAAACACGTAATATACAGAAGAAATACAAAGCGCTGAACGAAATAGATACACTTATGAACAAGAAAAATACACTGGAGTAGATAAAAAAGAGGATTATTAAGTATAAACAACGAAGATGAAAAGTATGTCTAGGGCGAGGTGATGCGATTCCAACGGAGAGCAGCCAGACGACGGGGGCCGACAGAACACCGATCCCAAGATTCCTCGCGCGCGCGCCGGGGCGCTTGGGAGAGACTGCAAATGGTCTATTGGATTGGAAATGGCCCTAAATCATTCGGGACCAGAGCAAGTTTCACGATTCTTGCCAGAAGTTCGAACGAGATATATTACTTCCGTGGCAGACTTGCACAGCTAAGGTCAATACTTGTAGAAAAAAAAACAAAAAAACTCTCCGTTGTATAAACAGTGTGTCTGGGGGGGACCTGGAAAACCGCGAATTGTCAGGGAAATTTTAATTACCGGAAATACAGGGAACTGTCAGGGATATTGTCAAAGGGCAAGCTCGCATATTTGCACTTAGCAAACGGTAATTGCAGTAGCTGCATTCATTTCATCCCAATTGGATTGGAAATGGCCCTAAATCATTCGGGACCAGAGCAAGTTTCACGATTCTTGCCAGAAGTTCGAACGAGATATATTACCTCCGTGGCAGACTTGCACAGCTAAGGTCAATACTTGTAGAAAAAAAAGAAAAAACTCTCCGTTGTATAAACAGTGTGTCTGGGGGGGACCAGGAAAACCGCGAATTGTCAGGGAAATTTTAATTACCGGAAATACAGGGAACTGTCAGGGATATTGTCAAAGGGCAAGCTCGCATATTTGCACTTAGCAAACGGTAATTGCAGTAGCTGCATTCATTTCATCCCAATTGGATTGGAAATGACCCTAAATCATTCGGGACCAGAGCAAGTTTCACG